AAAGGATTTGGGATTAATAGGGTTGGATAAGTTTTCTTTAGTGAGTTTATACAATGGCTCAGTTAGAATAGCAAAACCTGGTATCCTGAGGTGAAGTAGCAACCACACCCAGGAAGGAGAGAAGCTGTTGTTTGGTGGAGGGGGTTGGGGTTTGGGAAATTAACTGGATGTGGTTGGCAGGGGCAGCGCGTGTATGCTGGTGAAAGATTACAACAGATGGGAAGAAATTTGGGCTTCAGAAGGGAATACGTGATGCCCCTTTGAGTACAGGTGCCGAAGAAGCAGGAGGGTGAATTAAAAGGCCATGTTTCAATAGACAGGTGATAACAGGCTTTACTTTTAAAGGCTGCTGTGGGATGGGGTATGGGGCTGGGCAGGGTAAGGGTGGTTATGTTCTAAGGGGATGAGGAGGGGTGAGTGACTTGTAGCAATGGATGGGAAGGTGGTGTTTTACACCCTAGGCTTAAGGTTGGGGAACATAAGGGGAGCTATGAAGGGAGGTACAGGTTTGGGGAGGAGGGCGGCAATGAGGTGTGGCTGTAGCCCAGGAACAGTCAAGGAGGCAGACAATTTCGCTAGGATATCCCGGCCCAACAGGGGAACTGGACAGGTGGGGATGATTAGGAAAGAACGTGGAAGGGAGTGCTGGCCTGATTGACACCAGACGTGGGGAGTTTTGAGAGGCCTGGAGGCCTGGCCGTAAATTCCCACACAGCATGGTGGCCAAGGAGACAGGTCCTTGAAAAGAAGGCAGCATGGGGTGGGTGCCTCCATGCTGATTAAGAAGAGGATGGACTTGCCCTCCACGTAAGAGTTACCCGAAGTTTGGCATCTGTGATGGTCCAGGGGGCTTCCAAGATGCTCGGGCAGCTTCAGTCTTTAGCCGCCAAGCTGAGGGTTGGAGCTTCAGGAACTCTGGGAGCAGCGACCTGAGTTGGACAGTCGACTTTCGGTGGGGGCCCCGCACAGACGGGTCAGGGCTCAGCAGAAGTCCCGGGCTGCGGGCATTCCTTGGCCCAGTGGACAGGTTTCCAACACGTGAAGCAAGGTCCGGGAGGGGCAGGTACACCCTGCAGTCTGGGTGCTCTGAAGTCTCTGTGAGCCGGTGGTGTGGCTGGGGTTTGTCTTACGGAAGAGGCTATCATCTGTAGTTCTGAGATACGCTACTGCCGGGCAGATTTCTCCCTGTTATTGAACACCTTGAAGGTAAGGTTGCCTAATTCCTGTAGTGGGATTTGAGGGACAGATTTTAATTTTTGTACCTTTTTGTAATGCTGGGGTTGTCTGGGTGATAAAATGCATATTAAGCGTTTTTTAGGGGTGAGAGTGGAAGTAAGGATGACACTTAAGTCAGTCCAGGTGAGGTTACAGGACTGGGTGAAGTGTTGGAGGATCTGATGAAAAGCAGATTAACCGGTAGTCAATTTGGGAAAGGTCGGATAAAGGGAAGGAACGTCACCCTAACTATGCCTTTGGCTCCAGTCACCTCTGGAAGGGGGATTGTTGGGCAGGGGCAGAGGAATTAGCTGCAGGACTAAACTGTAAGCTGGGCCGCGTACGATGTGGGAGGTGAAAGGGGGGGCATGAGGGGGTGGGTTGTGGGCAGAGGAAGATGGAGGAAGGCTCTGGGGTAGGGTTAGGTCCTGGATTAGGGCCTGGTTCAGACAGACGGGAAGGAGAAAGGAGAAGGTTGATGGACAGGGAGGGTTCTGGCATACCCGCAGAGGAAGGAGGGGCAGACGGAAGCGAAGAGAAGTGGTAGAGATTAGGGAGGGATTGGTGTGTAAAAAATATGCCTGGACGTAGGGAATTTCAGACCATTTGACCATGTTGTGACAAAAATTGTCTTAATTTTATAAAATAGAGGTGAAAGCTGCCATTTTTGGCCAATCGGAGCCATTGTTTAACTTGTATTGTGACCACGCAGTGGCCCAGTAAAGAGAACGCAGTGTTTACAGAGACGTTTGGGTTTTAGGTTAGGGGACAGTTGGAGATGTCTGAGGTTCTTTAGAACACAGGCCAGCGGAGAGGAAGGAGGGATAGAGGATGAACGATTTCCCGTGGTTCTGGAAAGGCAGCAGAGACAAGGAGAATAGGCACGCAACCCAGCCGCTCAACAGGCGTCCCTCGGTGAGCCTGGGTTGAACCTTGTCATTGGTGAGCAGTCAAAGAGAGCGTCCTGTATGTTGACCTGCCACCAATATCGGCCCTAAGCCTGGTGGGCGAGTGACTAGGGTGAATGTCTCCATGATAGTCAAGCCCCTGGGGAAGCTGGGTCCCAGGATCCATGACCTACATAGGGTTTTTCGGGTCCCAAACCTCACGGAAGAACCTGGTTTACCGGATTTTCCTTGTGTTTGTGGTGGAAAAATGAGGAAACTGAAAGGGGGAGGAAGTGGAAAGGAAAAGATAAAAGAATGGGAAAGCAAAAAAGAGAGACTGCTTACCAAAACAGCCGGTGGTGTGTGTGTGGGCTGGTCTGATGACCCGGGTCGGTAGGTCGATCTCTTCATGGAGGGAGCACAAGAGCAGGGACGGGGGTTTGGTTTCCTGTAGGAGTCCCCCTATCCCGGGTTTTGGTACCAAAATGTTGAAAATTCACGCTTTGAATGAAGAGAACCCCCCCACCCCAGACAGGCTTTGTGTGAGCAACGTGGCTATTTATTCACCTGAGTGCAGATCAACTCCTATTCCACTGCCCTTTGCTAAGGCCCAGAAAAGGGCGTTAGCAAAGGGCAGTGGGATAGGAGTTGGTTTTACAGGTTTGGGGCGGGCAGTGGAAAGTTACAGAGTAAGATCAGTTACAGCAGTGGGTAGGGCCAGGAGTGTACATGACCACAAGTTCAGTTACAGTGGTGGCTGGGGGTGAGGCAGAAGAAGAGTTAAGATGACAGAATAGGTGAGAGGTATTCACGTTATCATAAGAACAGTTGAGATGGCAGGGTTGGGTAAGGGTCCATCTCTGGGGAAGCTCTGCTGGGTGCTCAGGGACCATGGCGAACGCAGGCAGGGGCTGGGAGACAATCAGGAGGCAAGCAGGACTTCAGACTTTCAGGCTCCAGGTTTGGATATGGAGACCTGACACCGGGTTCAAGCAATTCCCTGCCTCAGTCTTCCGAATAGCTGGAATTATAGGTGCCTGCCACCATGCCCGGCAAATTTTTTTGTTTTTAGTGGAGATGGTGTTTCTCCATCTTGGCCAGGCTGGTCTTGAACTCCTGACCTCATGATCCACCTGCCTTGGTCTCCCAGAGTGCTGAGATTACAGGTGTGAGCCACCGTGCCTGACTGCCTCATAGTCTTTGTCTGAAATACAGGGGCAGAGATATTCTTTTCAGGGCGGTCCAGGGTTCAGTGAGATGAGTTATCAGGTCTCTCAGCAGAGTGACTTGGACAAGGGAGAGGCTCCACAGCTGTCCTCTTTCCACAGTCATTCAGAGCGATTGTGAGTGAGACTGGAAAGTAGCCCAGGTGGGAGATTGGCCGTGTGCAGGGAGGAGGTGACCTGGTGAGGAAGGAGACCCAAGCATCTAAGATGACTTCCCCCTTGACTTGCACACTGCATTTCAATAGAAGTAAAGGTTGGGTGACCGCAGGCCACTTTATAGATTGCAGGCATAGCCTGGGGGAATCTTTCTGGAAGGCGTTGTTTTAACTTAAACGAGTTCAAGCCCCCACCCCACGCCTACTCCATGCACCAAGACCCTTTCACATGTAATTTCTAGAACTGTAAACCCCAAGACCCTTTCACGTGTCACATCTGGAGTTGTAAGCCTCTGTAAAGCCAGGCTTCTGATTGTTAGAGGAGCTTGGCCCTTAGGCAGTTATGCTGCCTGCTCCAGCGCGCCCTCTGCTTGTGGCTGGAGGCACTGCAGGACCCTCGCGCTCACAGCGCTAGCGGAGGACGCGCGCCCTCTGGTGGCCATCCCGCTGCACCACTTGAAGTCGGAGCGCAGAGTGTTCAGCGCTATAGTTCTGGAAATGCAAACTGACACGGAGCCCATTAGCCCGTGTGTTTCCGAAAAGGTGAAGGGACAATTAATTGGAAACCATAGGAATGAAATAAACATGGATGCACATTTTACAGATGATGGAAAAATTCACTCAACATAGTCTTTGCACTTAAAATGCAAAACCGTCAGAGGCACCTTAACCACAGTGACTTTATTTTAAATAAAAGCTTTAGAAAAAGCTAAATCTGGGCAGGGTGCAGGGCTCACGAGTGTCACCCCAGCACTCTGGAAGGCCAAGGCGGGAGGATCACTTGAGATCAGGAGTTCAAGACCAGTCTGGGAAAACAGTGAGACCCCCATGTCTACAAAAAATATAAAAATTAGCTGGCGTGGTGGCGCACGCCTGTGGTCCCAGCTACCCAGGAGGCTGAGGTGGGAGGATAGCTTGAGCCCAGGAGTTTGAGGCCGCAGTGAGCCAGCCATGATTGCACCACTGCACTCAAGCATGGGAGACAGAGTCAGATCCTGTCTCTCTCTCTCTCTCTCTCTCTCTCACACACACACACACACACACGCACACACGTTAAATTTGTTGGATTATATATTTAGGGACTGATCACCTTTGGTTATAAAATATTTAAGGTTGCAGGAACAAGTTAATAACTAAATAAAGATCCAAAACTTATGAATATATACTAGTACTTTAAGCAAGAAGCATTCTTAATTTAAAAAGAAGTTTTACTTTAAAGATATTAGTACACTCCTAAATTATTGTTAAAATCAATAGTGACATAGAAAAGTAACAATACTAATAGCCTGACACAAACTGATCACAATCCTTTGTAAGAGACAACACTGTTCTTAATAACCTATATAAACAAACATTAAGTAATCCTATTTGTACGTTAATGTGCTGGAATCACAGGTGTGATTACTTAATCCCAGCACGCTGGGAGGCCGAGGAGGGCAGATCACTTGGGGCCAGGAGTTGGACAGCAGCATGGCCAACATGGTGAAACCCAATCTCTAGTAAAAATACGAAAATATAGCTTTGCCCAGTGGCAGTATTGTAGCCAATGAGGTTTATCCAAGGCGCAATTATTGCTAATTGAAGACTTTTCCCAATATAGTCTTCAATTAGCAATAATTGGAAATATAGTTGGCATTGGCAATTTTTGGCAGTCTCTATGGGGATGGAATAAAATAAATAAAAAAAAAATTAAAATGAAATAGAAATACAAAAAAATTAGCCGGGCGTGGTGGTGCACACCTGTAATCCCAGCTACTTGGGAGGTTGAGGCAGGAGAATCCTTAAACCCAAGAAGCAGAGGTTGTAGGGAGCTGAGATCATGTCATTGTGACTAGAGTAAAACTCCGTCTCAAATTTTTTTTTTTCTTTGAAACAGGTTCATCCCTCCTCTTGCTTTCTGAGCACTCCTTGCTCTGTCACTTAGCAGTGGCTAATAAACTCTCTTAATGTCACTAGACTCTGCGACTCACCATAAATTCCATTTCGTGTGAGATCCAAAATCCTGTTGGGGTCTGGGACAGGACCCCTTTGCTGGTGACAAAACTATACTAATTCTTTTGTTTTCTTTTTTTTGAGACAGAGTCTTGCTCTGTTGCCCAGGCTGGAGGGAAATGGTGTGATCTCGAATCACTGCATCCTGTGCCTCCCAGGTTCAAGTGATTCTCCTGCCTCAGCCTCCCAAGTAGCTGGGATTACCAGCACCTGCCACCACGCCTGGCTAATTTTTGAATTTCTAGTAGAGACAGGGTTTTCCAGTGTTGGCCAGGCTAGTCTCGAACTCCTGACCTCAGGTGATCCACATGCCTCGGCCGCCTAAAGTACTGGGCTTACAGGCGTGAGCTACCTTGCCTGGCCGGCTTGTATCCTTGGTGATTGCTTGGATATGGAGGGTGAAGGAGGAGGGGTGTCATGCAGATATCACTCTTGGATTACCACCAGGGATATTAGGCGCAAGGCTCTATTGTTGGTTCGAACCCTGAAAGCGCAAGCAAACAGCTCGTGGTGGTGTGGAGCAACATGCTGTTTTCATGAGCGCCTGGCTGCAGACTGGCTGAGGCCTAAAACGGTGTCAGCCCCAAGTGAGGGCAAGGTGGGGTTTTTATAGTCTTCTGTAAATGGGAAGTGTCCCAGTCTGATGTAAGTGCTACGTGGGACGTAGACGGCCTCTCTCTTGATCTTCAGCGGGTACTTGTCTTCCAGCCTGCCCTTTTCTGGCTTCTGCTCTCTTGCTGACCCACGCTGCTGGTGCAAGTGGTCTTGTACCTTGGGACCGAGCCTGAGAAGGGAGGAGTTATCCCCCAAGCTTTCAGGCCCCCGGGAGAACATTTCATTAGGGAGAGTAGGCTGGCTGATTGTTGTTTGTTAGGCACAACTTGGTTTTGTGGGTTAGGTGGGGTGCCTCAAGCCGAAAGCTTGACTCATCGTACTGGCCAGACCCCACGTGGCCATTCCTGTGACTGCCAGGCTTTGAGAGACAGCTTTATCTGGCCTCTGTCCTGCACATGTTTACGATGCCTTCTCTGTGTTGGCAGATCTGGGGGTCCACCAGATAGGATCCCGTGAAGAGATCTCAAAGGTCTTTAGTCCACTGTGTTTAGTACATCATTTCCACAATCAAAGATGAATAAAATATAGAGGCGTATTTAGTGATAAGATTGATGGTACACCTGTGCTAGGCAGTGTTTTAGTTCCTTGAGACACCAACGAGTTGAGACAATCCTTTGCCTTAGAGTTTTGCATCTGTAAGTCCTGCTATCGAGAGCTGTGTGCGTTACAATGTCCGATTTCGTCAGGCAGGATCGGGGCTGTCTGTAAGCTTAGGTGAGGGGAGGCTGGTGTCCAGCAAGTATCCAGTACCCCCTCAACATCCCAGTTCTTCTCCACCAATCTTCCAATTCTAGGTCTCATGCGGAGGCCCTCAGAGCGACTTAAGAGGGGGAGTAGCCAGCGTGCTCTGTGGCTAGCTTGTTTGGGAGTGTACATTGTAAATCCTCTACCGACAAAATGTTGGAAATAAGTAGTGTTTCAGCTTGAGTTTCTCATAAATGGCTTGCAGTCGTTTAAACCAGAGCATGCATACCACAGGCCAACATGAGGGTTCCTCTACCACCCTTTCTCCCAGTGGCCTAGGTGGGCATCTACACAAAATAATGTGTGCAGCCTCACTGTGTGAATGTCCAGTGCTTTGTGCTTGGAGTGTCATGAGGGAAGGGCCCTTGACTTGGAAGTTTGCCGAGCTGCCACGGAGGGAAGGAGGGGAGTGTGGTGCTGCTGGGTCTATATCTCACCCTGTGACAGGAGGCACGAGATAGCCTTGGTCTTATGAAGACCTTGGGTGTCCCAGCTCACTTCAGCCCTGAGCAGCCTGATGCAGGCGCAGGGCCCTGGTTCTGGAGGTGAGACTATAGCCTGGGCTTCCGCTGTGTGGCTGGTACAGTGGGCATTCAGGTGCCTATTTGGGGATTGCTACGGAGTCCTGTGCCAGATGCAGTGTGCACAGCTGGGAGCCAAGGGTCCCTGCTTCTGCTGGAGAATCTGGGCAGATGTAAAGGGTTAAGGTTAGTGGTAGGGTTAGGGGTTAAGTTTAGGGTTGGTGTTGGGGTTTGGGGTCAAGGGTCAGGGCTAAAGAGTAGGATGAGGGATTGTGGTAGGGGTAGGATTAGGGTCAAGGGGTTAGGGTTTAGGGTTAGAGGTTAAGGGGCTGAGGGTGAGGGTAATAAGCAGATTACTAAAAGCAATTCTGCTTCACTTCAATAACAACCTCCCCCAACTCATTTTGTCTCCACAAACTTATTTTTCCAAGAAGAATCCCAGGCTTCTTAAAGCACCCAGTGACTTTTCACACATTAAATCTGTGAAATCCTGTCTTCTGCCATATGCATAGTTCAAACATACAAGGTGAGGCAAAGCCAGACGCCTTCCTGAAGGGACCCGAGGAGTTCTTCTCTTTCTCTCTCTGGAACAAAATAAATTCCTCTCTTTCACTCTCTGGACCAAAATGAATTCTCTGGACCATCAGTGCTAACCTTAGAAAGCCAAACCCATTTGTGAGATTTCCTTTAAAACTACTGTAGACCCAAGTGTTTATATTAATTTAGTATTTATATTAATACAAGGGAAAATGTTTAAATCTGTCTACGCCACATGTTCCTCTGGCTTATTGCCCAGTTAATTGTCGCCTCAGGCTAAACTTTGGTTTCTGTCTCGAATTTTTGTCGGAAAGAATATAACTGATCTCAAAACATCTGCTTTTATTGTAGGGACTCGTGCTGCCATCTCCATTCCTCCCTCTTTTCTTGTAGTCTGTGTGGAAGTTCTTTAATGCGAACATTTTGACCACCCTCATGCTCCCATGTCCACTGTCAGCACATTCAGACTTACCCAGACGAGGCTGTCATCTTAGGCCAGGGATTTTTTAGGGATCTTTATTTTGCTGTGATACGGTTGGCAGTCCTTTGACTCACTGTATCACCCCAGAGTTCTTTTCATTTTAGGAGCCCAAGATGGCAGAAAAAGAAGTAGGTGAGCAATTAAACCTTCTGAGTTGGGAGAGTCCCGTTGTGTTAAGCAACGTTGCAGAACATCATATATAGTAATCTAGCAGATGAGCCACGTGGCTGCAGAGCACACATGCCTGCTTGCTGCTGTGAGCTCAGACTCCCTCATCATTAGTCTTTTCTATCTCTGGAGGGAATTATAAGGGCCACTTATTAACCTGTAAGTCATAGAGAGGTAAATGTGTTTCCCCAAAACACTGAGGACAGAATGAAAGGTGAGGAGTGTTATCCACAGCTCAGAAGTGCAGGAAAGTCTCTCGATGTGGGTTGTTGGAGAAATGCAGGTGTTTTTTCTTTTGGAAGTCTCCCTAGTATGGGGTCCAGGACTCTTCCCATTCTAGGATGAATAATTGGTATATTAGACACCCTCAGATATTTATCCCAAGCCTTCATTTAGGGTTCTTAATGAGTTTGTTCAGCCATCACAGTCTCAAATGCTAAGTAGGACATTGGAATCTCTCCACAGTCCAAATTAGCACTGTCTTTTAAGTTGAGTTTCTCATTATTCTCGCTTGACATACCTTATGTATCCCACACTCACCCTAACAACACATCGTGCCCACTGTTAACCTTTGCAACAAGACTTGAATTTTACTTAGCCTGGAGGGGTGCACTTCACATGTCCAGACCCAGTTCTGACTCATTCTTCAGCCCTGCATCAGTCAGTGGGGGCTAGGTTAAAGCACGGTGACAAACAGCCTCCAAGTTTCAGTGGCTCAAAAATCTTCTTCCTCATTTCTTTGCATCTCATCATGGGTCAGGTGAGAGGTCGCTCTGTGCTGTGTCATCCTAACACAGGAA